GGAGGGGGGGGGGGGGGTTGGGAGAGGTGGCCTATGCAGAGACTTAATCTTTTTCCAGATTCAGACCCGTGATCTCATTGTTGTCAGCCCAACAATTTTACCACTGCATCAGATATATCCACTGTTGTATATAAATGCTGTATGCCTCAGAGGTCCATCTAATCTAACAGAAGTACTAAATGAATGCATTGTTTGATCAAAATGTTAATCATTTCCAGCTCAGTTGCTCTCTTTTGTGCTGTCACCATTATCTAAATAGCATGACCTTGTGTGGCAGATACCTAATAAAACAATGTCCACCTTTTTTGGAGAGAATTTGCATGTGAACCATATCTGTGTATTTCCAAAATTCATACAAGGATCCAAAGTTGGCTCAAAAGGAAACATAAAGGTTTTGGTGACGAGCAAAATGAGGGATACTATAATGGCTTGCAAATTCCCCTGTTCCTATGGGTTGGTTTATAACATTCGTCAGTGCGTTGCCATGGAAAACTTGTAATATTCTTGTCAAGTAGGGCAGGTTGTTAAGAATATTTAACCCTTTTTTGGTGGGCATGGAACATTCACTTTCACATTGCAATTTGCTGTCGAACCCTTCTTTCCTCTTGTGCCGTTGTCCTTATTTGTCTTGTTTTCATTTGGAGCAGGCATGCCTCTAATATTTTTATAATTTATAACGACAAATAATTCACCACAATATGCAGGATGATGGAACATGGCCTATTATCACCTGAAAGAGCAAAAAAGGCATTTGAGAAAAAGCAGAAGAAGCAAAAGCAACTTCGGATGGGAACTCCTATCAAATCTCCTCCTCCACCACCACGAAGTAAACCTCCTGAGAGTTCCAAAAAACAGCTGCCGCAGGTGTCAAAGAATGGCGAAGTTAAAGCCAAGAAAAGAATTCTTGATGACAGTGATGATGATGATGATTTTGTATTGAGTCACAAGAGGAGGAAAGGGTAAGAAGAAAAAAAACCCTCCTCTCGGTGTTTGTAGGGGTGCCATTTTAGAGAAATGCTTTATTTAGATTTCTTTTAAATTTGATTGCATCAAGGCAAGTGATAAAAACTATCAAAAGACTGATAGATTAAGACATTCTTTACAATGTCCAATTTATGGGAACAATAAAGAAACATAAGTTATGACTTCATGTTCTTCTATATTTCAGTTGATAACATAAGGTGCGTTTTGATGTGGGACGACCCCACTGGTATGCANAACAATAAAGAAACATAAGTTATGACTTCATGTTCTTCTATATTTCAGTTGATAACATAAGGTGCGTTTTGATGTGGGACGACCCCACTGGTATGCATTGCCATATAGGCTCTGGAGTAATAAAGTGATTGTATTTTGCATGATATATCAGTGCTCATCATAAAACTGCATCATTGTTTATTTTGTTATAGGACATAGAACATTGCTGAAGAATTCNATAAAGTGATTGTATTTTGCATGATATATCAGTGCTCATCATAAAACTGCATCATTGTTTATTTTGTTATAGGACATAGAACATTGCTGAAGAATTCTTGCTTTTGACATAGATTCTACTGAGTTTTTCTCTAGCTGGTGACTTGTTCATATCCTCCTACTGTAAATTTGGGCTGGCAAGCGGAAACTGTTGAATCTATTTACTTAACTAAGAAACAAAACCTATCTAGTGAAATGATCCACTTTTTCCTATAAGAGGCTCGTCATTCACTCCTCTAAATTTGTGCTGGACTCATTTCGGTAGAGTACTACTAATAGTTCAATAACACTCTTCATCAACTTCTATAGAAGAAGTTGATTTGGTCATTCTTATACAGTTGTCTGTTCAGTAATCAATATTTATTGNAGTGAAATGATCCACTTTTTCCTATAAGAGGCTCGTCATTCACTCCTCTAAATTTGTGCTGGACTCATTTCGGTAGAGTACTACTAATAGTTCAATAACACTCTTCATCAACTTCTATAAAAGAAGTTGATTTGGTCATTCTTATACAGTTGTCTGTTCAGTAATCAATATTTATTAATTTAATAATCTGTATAGCTAAGGAATTTAGNGGTAGAGTACTACTAATAGTTCAATAACACTCTTCATCAACTTCTATAGAAGAAGTTGATTTGGTCATTCTTATACAGTTGTCTGTTCAGTAATCAATATTTATTGAGGAACCAACTTCATTTACTTGAATAAATTTGCAGTGCATCTCTCTTGTAGTGTTAATTATTTGAGAAGCAAAATATGGGTGTCTCTGCATGTAGATTCCATGAGAAAATTGCATTGTTTTTAGCAAAATATGTTGCAAAAAAGTATATTTATTGACAGAATTCTATAGAAGAGAGAAAATCAGTTTTGTATTATTGAGAATTATTTTGAATTCAGCCCCCTCCCAGCATCATCAGTAATTAGAGTTTCAACTGTACCAATAAATAGTGCACCAGGTTATGGTCCCCCATTTTGGCTGCACTTGTTACCATTTAAAACTAGTAAATTATCCAATTTAAACCAGACAAGGAATTCCAATTTATCCATGATCTCCAGTTTATTATGCTTTTGATATCCTGTTTTTCAGTCTTTCTGATATGTACCCAGTTTCTTGTGGGTGGAGCAAACTTTTTTGAGTATTGTTCCGTGTCTTTCTGGATGTGCTTTGAGCTTTTTTGTATATCTAATTTCGGATTAATTAGAGAAATTTATTTACTTTCTGAGACCAGGAGAAGGCCNGAATTCCAATTTATCCATGATCTCCAGTTTATTATGCTTTTGATATCCTGTTTTTCGGTCTTTCTGATATGTACCCAGTTTCTTGTGGGTGGAGCAAACTTTTTTGAGTATTGTTCCGTGTCTTTCTGGACGTGCTTTGAGCTTTTTTGTATATCTAATTTCGGATTAATTAGAGAAATTTATTTACTTTCTGAGACCAGGAGAAGGGCTATTGAATAGTAAGACCCCATTCCCACCTATGTACCTGACATTTTCTTCATAAATAGTCCTTACCTGCCTTTAATACTCAAGGTCAAGGATNCTATTGAATAGTAAGACCCCATTCCCACCTATGTACCTGACATTTTCTTCATAAATAGTCCTTACCTGCCTTTAATACTCAAGGTCAAGGATTGAAATTGCTGCATAGAAAAAAGGACGAACATGTAGTATATCATGGCAGTGTTATGGAGCTTTTGTACAAAAGCATGAATATCTTGGCAGATGTTGCAGGCACTGGTGTGATTCAGACCAGAACTTATTAAGTTGTGGTTGTTTCTAATTTTGCATGTGAACTGAACAAAAATTAAAAGGTCCATTTATTGTGATAACCATCATAGGAAATAATATATGATGAGGTCCCACTTTGTTATACTCTGTGCTTATGAATTAATGTGTATACATTGTACTATTCACTATATGGAGATGCATGTGAGACCCAACCCAGGGTCAGTTGGACCATGATAGGCTGCAATCCCAACCCGGAATATAACTCAACTTAACAAAGCTTTATCCCAGTTATTTAGAGTCGGTAATATGAATTATATATTCTTCCATTCTCTTTATCATGAATCATATTTTATGTTAAATCTTACACTATCATATCTTTTGTATATGAATCTTGACCAACAATGCATGGTAAAATGAAACGAAGGAGCAAATAAAGTTCGCGAAAAGTTGGTGGTTGTGACTATCAATGCACTGTTATAAACTATCTTCTATATGGTCTTTGGGGCTAATAATCAATAATTTATTTGATTATGCAAGTGAGATTTCTTCTAATATGTTTTTTTTTTTTTCATTTTTTCACTTTGGTTGAGTGTTTACTCAAAACCCATGTTGATAAATGGTCCCTCACTAATTTATGATGGACATTCTTCGAAAAAAATGGAAAAAAATAGACAAGGATTTGGATCCGTATGAGAGTGAGAACTTCCTTCCCAACAACTAATACTGGATTGTCAATGTGGAATGTGGGAACCATCTTGATTTGAAAAATAGGTTGAGATACACCACCCCTATCTCACGTCTGGAACTTCGCAAAGGATTTCCATGGTGGGTATGAGCTCATGCAGGTTTATTTTGGTTTATTTTTCTGTTTGTCTTGTGGGATTGATAGAAGCCAGTAAGATGGGGGAGATTATTGTTGGTATATATGGCATCCTATTGCTTCAGGGTAAAAAAATTTTCCATCAATTACATAAAGGTTTTTGACATGATAGTTGATTTGAAGGTTGTAACTTTTCTGATTTTGTTTTCATCTGTTCATTAAATGAACGACCCCATATGGCCATATATGGTAGGCAAGGACTTCATGACCTTATCCAATTTTTGAAGTATTAATTTTAACCCAAGTGAATTATAACCGCTTCGAATTATACCGAAAAATAATTTTATGGTACCAAGTGGAAGAATTACAATGTGGTTCAGGGAAAACAACTAAGTTTATAGTACCCGGTGGATGAGTTCCTAACAAAAATAGGGTAGGTTTTATTGCCATTTGGACCCTTCAGTGGTTATATTGTTTTTGATCTTTTCAGGGCATTGTCAGTGTTCTCAATTTATACATGATCATGAGGGTGTTGGATAGCTGGATGCCTACAACCTAACATGAAATAAATAGTTTATACATGATCCTAGTTGAAATAAATCCTGAGCACAAAGTCTAGTAGTTTATACATGATCCTAGTTGGAAACTTTGGCTAAGAACAACTTGTTTCATGTATATACTGAGACGTTTTTAACTCGTAGGGTAGCTAGAATGGCAAGATCTCAGAGATTACCATATCGAGATCTTGAATTTGGGTTCTGTCCTGTCCCTGTTTGCATGATGCGTTTGATTTGGACTTGCGACTATTATCTCTGAAGTTTACAGACCATATGCCCAAAAGATGTGTGATTAAGACAGTTTTAATTCACTCACTCTTTTGTGGTTTTGGGTATATTGGAGGAGCTCCCACATCAGGTGGTGACACCAGATCTGGTGCACTGCTGTTATCACTTATAATCATACAGCTGAAAGGACAAACAACACCCAAGCTATTGTACTATATACTACTGTAATGTTGCAATCAACGTACTAATGTACCACTGAAATTTCATGGTAATGCCACCGGTCCTTAGGCCATGTGACACCAAACTTGATTTAGTGGTTGGCCGAGGTGTAAACCTGCATGTTCTTTTGTTCAAGTCGCACCAGTCTTATGAAACCCAAGTTTAATTGATACCAATAATTATTCTTACAGTACGGTCATGGTTTTAAAAGGCACGCAAAAGAAAAGACTTCCATTCCATTGGAAGTCAGCTCATGATGAGGATCTCTGTTGAAAGGCTGTATAATACAGCAACAAGAGATCATTAACATGCACTAAGCCTATTTATAACCCAAACACAAAAATCTCAGTGTTTTGGATTTGAGTTCACTAAATCAAAAATGTGTGGCTATGGATATTTGAGTTCTGGACCAGCCCTATCAATATGGATCATTTGTGGTGACTGTTATTCACTTATGCCTCCAAAATCATGTCCTTCAACAGCTCATGTGTTGGGGTACAATTCAACTTCTTCTGAAGTACACTACATACACATGGAAGAAGATAAGATCCATTTAGACAACATTTCAAAGTTTACTTCATTTGATAGGAGATGAACTGTGGTGGCCAATGATTTGTTTGGAAACTGACTTCATCATTGAATGAGTGTGTATGCATGACAACTAATACAAAACGAATTGACATATAGGGCAACTAATAAGCACAATAAATATGCGCACGAATTAGTTCAATGATTGAATAAGAGTTAGTTGAAAGACTGCCTGTCTTAAAATCGAATTTTCTACCATCTCTTTTTTTTAGTTAACATTCTAATGCATAATGAATGGCGAATATTTTGATATTTTATTTAAACATGGTCAATTCTGTTTAGTTAGAAAATTCTATAGGATTTTATTTTATTTCTTAATTTAATTAGAAAATTATTTTATTTTTATTTTATAGTTTAATTAGGATTTTATTTTACTTCCTATTTTATTTAAAATTCTAATTTCCTAGTTGTTTTAGGGTTTTTATTACTATTTAAAGACTTAGGGAAAAATAGTTTGTAATTGATTAATGCAATTGAGATAGCCTCTCTTTTATTTCTTATTTTTCTGATATTTTTAGAAATTAATAGATTTATTGAAACTTTTAGAACTGATATTCTACAAAATCAACAGGTCTAGGGTAT